CTGCGGGTTTATGAAATTTTGCAAACTTTGTGATTTAATCCATAATCAACGGAATCACTATCAGCTTCACGAAAGAAAAAGAAAGAGAGAGAGAGAGAGAGCTCTGAAAGACTAAGAAATATAAATATAAAAAGTTCACGATCTCTCATCTGGCTCTATAGTCTAGCGGTTACGACATTGGACTTTGAATCCAAGAGCCCGAGTTCGAATCTCGGTAGGGCCTTTTCTGAACTTTTTCGTGACCACTAGTGTCAACACTAGTAAAATATACTATGTGATGTAAGCCTTATTGACCTTCTATCCGTATCGAAATATGATGGTCGCTTTAGTCGTTGGTAGAAACATTGCCAGCTGAGTTAATTTTAGATAATACGAGTGTTTGTCACAATTCCCTTATCTCATGAAGGAAGCAGAATGTCCAGAACGTCATGAATGATCAAATGTGCAATTCTTTCCTAGTCAATGAACCAATCAGCTTATTTTGTTCAGTTTCACAACTTAGCCCCACTTTGTTACACTCCTGTACTCTTGTTCCATAGTACGTAGTGCCAACATAAATTGGTGTACTGACTTTTTCTTGAATCAATTACGTCTTTTGCATAGGCTTCACTGGAAAATTGTGCCCCACAAAATCTGGTTGGCAAGTTCTGTATTTCAATCAGAACCGCGTTAGTCACAAGAGGGAGCACATAAATGTATGAATCATGTAAGTTAAAACTCTAGACCCTTGAAACATGCCGGCCAGGTTAGAATGTCGAAGTCTAAATACTTCCGAGTTACAGAATCCTTATGAGTATATAGATTTTCATCCAGTACTTTTGATCATTCTAGCCGAAAGTATTTCAAAAGTATTGCACAGGTTACAATGATTCTCAAAGGTTCTTCCCAAAAAACTGCATGAGTATATACTTGGGACAATGTCGTATCCGCAAGTACATGCTTATAAAGATTTGGTTACGTGAGCTTCGGGTTGATAACTGTGAATCGTACCTCTCCTTTTGTGAGGATGCGATGGTTAATTCAAAAATTGTGTATGTTGGTGATACGTATTAAACGATTACGAAAACCATAATTTACGAGAGAGATTTGCTTGATGGTACCCCATCAAAACGTAAATTGCTTGATGGAACCCATCAAGTTTCAATTTAACTAATGGGACCCCACTGAACGTTCCACCGTCACTGGCAAATCGTCTCCTTACGAACTCATCGTTGTTTCAAGAATAAATTTGTCCGCAGCAATTCATGTGCGTAGAAATCTTCATTGTGGTAGTCTGGTGCTGTAGATATGTTGTAGCAGAAATTTGATGGTTTCACGAAAGAACTCAGGATCACTGGAGGTGGAAGGTGTACTACCAATGGCATTGCACTGTCTCTCAATGTTTCTAGATCCATAAGGGATTTCTCGGATTTAATGTGCTTGAGCAAATTGATTTTGTCAAATCGTCTCCTTACGAACTCACCGTTGTTTCAAGAATAAATTTGTCCGCAGCAATTCATGTGCGTAGAAATCTTCATTGTGGTAGTCTGGTGTTATAGATATGTTGGAGCATAAATTTGATGGTTTGACGAAAGAACTCAGTATCACTGGAGGTGGAAGGTGTACTACCAGTGCAATGCCATTGGTAGTACACCTTCCACCTCAAATTGATTTTGGAACGTGAATGCAACGTTTAATGTCCAGGAGCACAATTCTGTTGGGTTGGAAAATCTTGCGGACGAGAGCATATCCAGTTTTGTTAAACTCCAATGGCACGCCGTAGAAGCAGAAACACGAATTAGAACATGTTTGTACTAGAACATTTATTAGAACTCAACGACGGAACACCGTCAGTGGGGTCCCATTGGGTAAATTGAAACTTGATGGATCCCATCAAGCAATTTACGTTTCGATGGGGTACCATCAAGCAAATCTCCCCCAAGATTTGCCTCTGAGTTTTGGAACCAAACATCATCACTACGAAGCTCTTACTCGGATGAGTATTTGGATCTCATAGATTGATGATGTTACTAACGTTTAGGTCCAAAACGTTTCATTTTATCCCTTGAGATAATATCTATTTATTATAAAATCTATTATTCATATCTAATTCACCTCACCGTCATCCATGTTACCATAGGAGTTAATCTAACTGCTTTGTTTCCGGGTTAAACCGCTGCAACTATTTGTTGAAAAAAAAGTGAATTCTCTCCTGCAAAAAATGTATTATGGACCACTTGGAAACTCAAACCTCTTGAAGTGACCCAACAGGTTTCAATTTACCCAATGGGATCCCACCTTCAGCCATGTTCTTATAACCTACTGATTTGCTCTATAGAGTGGGGAATGTTCGCAACTGTCGGGCCAGAGTATTTTAGCGACTCTTTCGCAGCCATGTATAAGAAAACGAAGGGCACCATGAGTCTTAACCGTAACTTCATCTTTTTACTCGAAATAACCCTAGATAATATAGGAACATCGCTAACGGTGGCTGCAGGGACGTCGGGTCCATCAAGTGTTTTGAGTTTCCCCGGGTCCCGTCAAGTAATTTACTCCCAACGTTCAGTTAGTCCTGAACTCGTATGAGAGCATGGGTGACGGTGGAATGAAGTGCCCTGAAAAATGAAACCTTTTGGGTACCTTCCAGTAAGAGGAAGTAACTTTGGTCGGATCAAGTAATTTCTCGCGATAGGAAGAGTAGATTAGTTCTTTGAGTACATAAGGAAGAGATATTAATGACCATCAACGAAGCTAAGCAAAACAAATGCTCCAGCACAAGAGGCAGCAATAGTGAAGGCGACATCCGAAAGGTGTGGGACAAGCGGGAGAGTTCTCTGCCCTGAAGCTCAAGCATAGGCACAGGGAAAATTTCATAAAAGCGTTTGGATGATTCGTGAGCAAGATCCGACTGGTAGGTTTCAAATCCAAAGGCAAAAAATTTCAAAACTTACACCAAATTATGATTCATGACATGATAAACTTATAAACTTTGATACCCAAATTTTTGGAAAAAAATTTATATTTAACGGGGAGGTAACGGAAGTGTAGGCCTATTCTTTGTGTGACAGCCCATCTTTTGTAACGTATACCTTCTAATTTGGTTTGATTGCCACAGTGTATGATTATTATCATGTTTGTATTGCTAAGAATAATGCTTACTCTTTATGGATTTACATCCATACACGTAAATTCCGTTAGAAGTCTTCATATATTAGTTTGTATAGGTATAATTCTCATTCTCTCTTTGATACATGGTTCCAACATTCTCTACCATCATCCATTCATCGCACTACTAGATTTTGATATTTTTGATATTGAATAGATATAGATCTTGTGGATATAAGCACGAATCTATATCAGAGGTTTTCGACTCGCATTATGTACTTTTTATCATCCACAAGAAAAAGTTGATTTCAACTTAATTTTTGGCGTTTTGCATTTATCCCTTGTTGTCCTACTGTAGATGAAACATGTGTGTTCATGATTAGTTGTCTATCTGGATAAATCTATACATACAAATATTTTTAATTATCTTAAATATAAAATATTATATCAAATATAATTATCCACCCACAGTTCATTTCTTTGGTAGAGGTGCTGATGTTGGCAGTCAGCTAATGTTAGACAGTAGTAAATTTCGTTCAAGTTCACCAAGTTACCACTACAGACATGTTCCTTACATATACGTAAGTTGCAGAACAGACACCAACATCTCCGAGTAGATAAAGATTCAAAAAGTTTATATCCTCAGCATATTTGTGCTCTATATCTCAATATGAGGAAGAGAAGCCGTGAAAACAGACAGGATGAGTATCAATTTCTTAATCTTGTTGTACATTCTATTGCAGAAACCATATCTCCATTGATTTATAAAATTAATCATTATTATTCTAAAATTATATAAGAACTTTAGCCTGTACAATCTATTTGATATTAATCATGTTGCATAATGAGTCTTATAATAGTTAATATTATCACTCTACCATAGTAAAACATAATTTTAGTATCTTCCAATGCTTGAGTTACTTTACCAAAACATGTTATATATTCTATGCATGGCAGTTGCAATCTTACGGGGTCTATCTACATTTTAACCATCTCGCTTTATCCGCTTGTGACTTGATGAATCTTGTGTCTTTTGGTATTACTTTCCTTCGCTTTTGTACTGCCCGGAAAGAATAGAATGGATAAAAAAGCGCATGAAGCGATAAATGTTTTCCATCCCTGTACTCTATCACTGAATTTTATGTTTTCACGGTTGTTTCATACGCCAACGTTGATGGATATGTATCTTATTTAGAACAGTATGAACGCGTCACTCGTCTCTTTGAGAATGCTCAATGATCAAAACTAGTCACGTCAAAACTCACTACAGAGTTGAAACTCCCAATAGTATATCCTATTATGAGTGACATTCTCTCATTAGTGATAGTAAAATTCTTGAGCCATAAATTTATAACTCGTAAATCTGTTCACTATTGCCAATAGTGACATGATAATATCCAATAGTGACAGTTTCAAATATAATTTTGGAATTGATATTCTTAACATTATTACTGTATATAGTTTTGAGAAAAAATAATGTGGCATACTTTTATTTAAAGATTTATCTCAAAATTTCACTCTTTTTGGGTTTCAATAAAATAATTCGTTATCTTATTATCATCAATTGTTTCACTCAAATTTTTATATTTTAATTCGAATTCAAACACAATTATAACTTAAGTTAATCCTTGTGAACAGTAAAAATTGCAAATGAACGCGATCTTGAAACCAAACAACACATTGTTCAAAAAGTACTTGAACCGAATCTATGCACTTTCTTTCAATAAATAACACCTCCCAATAGTGTCATCCAACCCTAACACCATTGTATGTTACTATTGGGAGTTTATACTCAAGGTTAACCTGAAACCAGCCGGAGTCTATACAATTGCTTTCAATAAATGCCACCTCCCAATAATGACATCCAACCCTAACACCAATGTATGTTACTATTCGGAGTTCATACTCAAGGTTAAGCAGCTCCCAATAGTGACATTCAACTCTAACACCCATGTATGTTACTGTTAGGAGGAATACTCAAAGTTAGACACTTTACTCTTGTGAGTGACACCTCACAATAATGAGGTAAAACCCTAGACCAATGAGCGTCACTATTGGGAGGCTTAACTCTGTGCATTGAACTTGTTGAACTAGATAAATGATCAATGGTACAACACCTGTTATGAAAATTTCCAAAAAAATATGATCAATTTACACTCATTGCTGTAATGCACTTCGGTAAAAGTCAATCAATGAGGTAAACTTTTACTCCGACAAATGAGGCTCAAAGTGCACTTTTCACTGCCATATGGATGGTCTCCCTCATTCGCAATCATATGTCTGCCTAGGTCATGGCTGGCAGTTAGAAACAGACTAACTGATACCAGACCTATTTTACGTTTGACCTTGCTAATCCGTCCTTGCCTGATGTACAATCTACATCCTTTACCGCCAAAGAATTGCAAAGTTTATGGTCCCGGATGGAGCGTTTAAATAAGCCACGGTTGCAAGTTCACCACATGCTCAATTCAAGCTCATGGCTCGCCACTCGAACCATGTCTATCCACCAGCATTTCTGTAGTTTAGTTCTGAAAAAGCTGTGATGAATTCGACGCATGAATAGCTATTTTACAGAAAGATTCTGAGATTTTCAGGTACTGATACCAAGTTTGAGAGGTTCATCTATCATCCTCAGGTTCGTAAATCACTTCAAGTTCTTCTGGAATTTCTGCTTGTCTTGATTCCAATACTTTCACCTTTTTTTGAAGAAGTTTGTGGGCGACTTGGAGTTCTGCCATCTTTTGACGAACATGGATGTTCATGTTCAACAAGTTAGCCACCTTGGCGTACTAACATAAGTAGGAAGATGTCTATTAAAATAGGCGGCAGCAAGATGCAAGAAGCAAGACTGGAGAAAGTGGTAAACACTTTCCACATACTTCTTTTCATGCGTGGACCAGGAAGATTCGAGTGTCTGGTAAGTAGCAGTACTAGAGTCTTATGCTATCCACCAAATCCAATGTCCATTTTGAGGTCCATCGGACGTTTTATACCACCTTGCTAACAAAAGTAAATGCAATACGTTCAAGTCTTGCGGCTGACTCTTAACAGATTAAAAAGTTTGTTCAGTTTGCTTCATACTTCCTAGTTCGGTATTACTCCGAACACAAAACCTGTGCAGATTTAGAAGGGAAATTTACCTGCAATTTCCCGGTTGCAACGGACTTGTTGGCAACTTCAAGCTCCGTCTTGAGGTACTGCCAGTTTGCTTCCACAACAGCCAACCTTGCCAAATCTCGCTTACAATCTTCTAGCTGCATTTGATATCTCATCCAATGAAGTAAACGTACTGCCTCCGGCTCTTGTGTGAACGTTAGTCACATGCTCTCAACCATCAAGAGCTCTGAAAAAATCTATATTCCTATCTATATACTCTCTTTAATGAGTACGGCTTCGATCTATTCCACAAATGTTTACCTGAGTTGTGAGCTTAGTTACATTCGCAACAGCAAGATTGCGCTGCTTTAGTTCTTCAACAAGCTGTTCTCGGAGACTTTTTATCTCTGCAAAGTTCGTCCGGGGCACATTCAAGGCTGCGTTGAGTAACTCAGCATTTTCGTTTTCCAACTGTGGGGTCACACAATACCAAGTACCGAGAATGTCACGAATTCAAGGCACTTACCATTTCTTCCATGCACAAATGTTGTGACCATCCGTAATATGATCAGCTATCTTCTAAGATTTCATCTATTACTATATTGAAACAATGGTTAAACGTGACACTTGTTTTACCTTAAATCTGACAATATACCTGCAGGTTCTGATGACGTAATTGCTGTAGATTAGATCTCAGATGCTCAGCTGCAATAAGCTCTCCACTAATTTGCTTCTTCTCTATCTCCAATTCCAGCCTTAGTTTTCTTTCCTACACAAAGTACCAATTGGATACGACCATTAACAATTTGTTAGATCTAGTTAATGCATAAAATTACTGAAAAGAGAAGTATGAAGCTACAAACGATGCGTATTTTTATTACACAACTATGGTTCATGAACTGTGAATCAAACTGAGAAAAATATAAGAACAGGGACTTCAATATCCTCAACTTTTTCACATGACATCGCGAAGGTCGATTGAGTTACAGCTCCGAATCTTCCTGCCAGAAAATTAAATCCTAAATGGACTGCGGTGATCACTGGGCATGCTAATAAATTCCCAGTATAGGCCGTATGTACCTGATTCAGCTCACTGTATGTATCCTGAAGCTTCTGCAAACATTTGCTATGATTTAATTTCAGCTGGTGAAGTTCTTCACATGTCCTGTCATATTTTTTTTTCATCCTTTCCAAGTCCTCGGAAGTCTTCATCAGCTGAGCTGTGACTTGTATAGATGCAGGTGCCTCTTCAACAAAATGTACCTCAGGCAGCTCTTGAAGCTTACAAACTGGTACCTTGGGAGGTGATTGCATCACTGCTATACAAGCACCGTTCGTTCCGGCTTCAGCCATGTGGTCATTTTGGTCGTCTTGTTGTTTGTGACGTCCACTTCTCTGGCACCATTTCGAGAAAAATCTCAAATGGGATAAAAGAGAACATCACGGTCTTCCTAGCTCAAAGTAACAACGAGAACAAACTTCTAGGAACCTATGTCACCTGACCTTTCACAAACTGAATAGTTCATTCGGATCCTCTTAGGGTTCACTCGTTCTTAACAAATTTGACATAAAGTGGGTCAAGAGAGTCCTAGGGTAAACTGACAGACTACGACGTTTTGTAATTCACAATTGACCTGCGCAAACATGTTAAAAGCTGTAGATTACCCTGAAAGAAAGAGCGTAGAGCAATTATAGCAAGAGCCGTAACCTTCGTCTGAGAACTGGTTGGCCTGACAACATGTGATACAATTTCCAAACGAGCATCTGAGGGAGATTTTGAGCAATCAGGTCCATCGGTCAGCTGATCGATTGTCCGGTTTCGCAACTCTTTGTTCTCCTCTTGCAAAATCATAAGCTGCATCTTCAGTTTCTTCACCATCTACAGGCAGATTAACACAGGCAGCTTGAGTCGCAACACCAAATATGTGGAAACCTCCAAGCTGCAAAAAACAAGCAGCATGTCTTGGAATTGAGTCAAAGTCGGTAACTGCCAGTCCGTGGGAATTTGTTCTCAGAAGTTTTTCGAGTAGGTTATTTTGAAGATATTCCAAACTGGACTCAATGGACTCACTCACCCATTTTTACTCTACTGACTCCAATTCAATCTAATCGCATAAAATCAGCAGGCGTTAGCTTGCCTGGCAGAACATCTTGCAGTTTCCAAGAGAACATACAAGAGCCCGCTCGGATGAAGACGAAAGAAAAAGGAAAAGTATTCTTTATACAGTGTGATTGACTAATCCTTTTTATTTGAAACTCGCTAAACTCAGCGCTACGACTCTAAAATACAGTGCAATACAATGAAATGGCTTTGGTATAGCCAGCCTTGGAATCTAGAGCACCTTCTCATATCGTCTGGAGACATCAAGTGGTGTCGGCGGCCGTGTTCGTCGACTCGCGCGCACCGTCCCTTCCAACCTCTTCCTCAGACTCTCGGCTTCTGCTTTAGATTCTCTGCTATGTTCAAGATATTTTTTAGCATCTCGGTGCCCTTCTCGTAATTTCAACTCAAGCTCCTGAATTTTCTGCGGCCCTCGAAATAATTTGTAAGTTGATTGGTCATAGAAAACCCTTCAAGGAGAGTAAACCTTGACCTTTGTACATTTTAAAACAATGGGCAGTTTAGTGATCTATGGAAAAAATGATACCACTCAGATCAGAGACTTCTAATTCCACAGATCGGTTCACCTCTTCGGCATTGTTCTGCTGCAGAAACATTGCCATAACCGCATTCTTATCTTTTGAAACCACAAGAGCCTGCTCCACTGTAGCGCGCAAATTCTTCTTGGCAGCCTCCTGTGCTCTATGTAACTTCACCACAAGCCTGCAATGGCGAATGGGAAGTCTTTAATACTGCTCCGGAAGTGCAAACTTCGATCTTATTTATTCCAGCAGAGAACTGAGACAGACAGAAATTTATGCATACATTTTGTGTTGGTCGTCTCTGTTTGCAATCTCTTTCTTGAGTCGATGGGTTTCGGCCTGCAATTCTAGAAACTGATGCTCTGAAACCGTCCCGCGTTCAAACGCTGGACGAAAACGCTTGAGTTTCACCACCTTGTCCATCTTTAAGAATGGAGCCTTTCTTATTGCTTCCAGACTGTGATCTCGTTAATTTATGACGGGGGGTATGTGTCAATGCGTCTTGTGGGCATCGGCTGCCGAGAACGATGTGTCTGGACTCCGCAAACAAATTCCATCCCCATCGGCAAACCCTGACCCCTGGCAGCAGAGGACTTCTTCAGGTGACCACTAATGCTGATTACAAGCTTGCCAGACTCGCCATATCCTCTTCTGCCCGCTGGCAAGCCGAAAATTTAACACAGGTCGAAGATGAGAAAGTTTCGACACTGTAAATTCTCTAAATCGAAGAGGATGACGAATTTCACGAGTCAGTGACAGCGCATGTTTGTGATTCAAAACATCCCCTCGCTGTCTATCGTGCCCGCAATCACGAGTAAGTTTCATAAGAAGTGCGTCGACGGTTTTGCATGCAAGATGCTGCACGCATCACGATTCCCATCACTCTGGGTGGAATTAAACCACTCCGCGGCTCTGTCATGACTTCGGCGAGCAGGAAGTGACCACCGATTTTGCATGTCGACCTCCCAAAGAGATCGGATTCTCCAATGATGAAAGAGCCCGTGCCCGAACCGAGAACCGCAATCGATCGATCGATCGCTCGCTCGCTCGTCGTGGGCGAGAAGAGCATGCGCATCGCTGGACTCCCCCTCTCCCTCCCCCTCGTGCAGGAAATGATCTCCGCCCGACGGAACTTACGCACCGACCACGTCCGCATGCGACGTCGTCCATGGTCTAGGTCCACGACGACGACCACGTACATCTATCGACCACATCCATCGATCCTCTTGGATCGAAGACCCCGTGGAGCCCCAGGGAGCCCAGGACCCTTCTTGACGACCCCTGGCTCAGCTCTTCGACCCCATCCCCAAGATACTTACTTCATGTGAGAGCCATTCTGCGCCCAGGCTGTACCTCGTGGGCTACATTGCCTTCGGGTACTACTACCGTGTAGTCCCTTTGGTATTCTGATTTTTTACCATGTACGAAACCATCGTGTGAACATGGGACTAGCCCTGATCGGATCATAATGTAAATTATGTCACATTGTAAGTCAGGTATATGGTTGTATATAGACGGTCTATTCATCTATCGGTGGCTTCTCCAAATGATTGTATAATAATATCAACCACTTAAAAAAAATGCTAACAACTTAGGTATGAGCTATGTGATGCAAAACATACGTTGAATTATGGACTAAATCTTCCGAGTCAATGGTACCAAAAGTCTCGATGTTCCAGAACCATAGCGAGATGTTATTGCACATAATGTTATGAGTTTTGCTGTATTGTTTGACATCCCTGCTATTACAAAATTCTTATGGTAATGATTGAAAGTTTCTCCGACTCTCTATGAAGGAAAGTAATGAGATAGATGATTATCAGTTGATTAGAAGAAGCTAAAAGAAAGAATGTAGATATATCATAATAGTAAAAAGATAGAGAAGAGATTTTGGAAAGAATTAAAGTATTGGACAAAAATTGAAATGTGAATGTAATGAGATTTTTTTTATGATGTAAAGAAAAAAAAAGCGAAGAGATTGTCTTGAAAGTTTTAGATTAGAGCATAATATAGACTTTTGATAAGATTCAGTAAAGAAATGAATTTTGAAAAGAGAACAAGAAAGATGTAGTGATCTCAAAATTGTAGAAACATAATGAGAAATTTATTGAGTCAACAAGATGAAATTAAAGTACAAGATTAAATTCCAATTTTTCATTTTTTATTTTTCATATTGCTTAAATGTTGGCAGAATTCATATATTAATCAAGGATGATACAAGGTTTTCATAATGAATTTTAACAAATATAAATCATAGTTTTTTTATTACAAAATAACATTTATTACTTAAATTTTAAAATTTTATTCTCCCTAAACTTATTTCTGTGATATAATACAAGATCTGAAATCTTAAGAAGAAAGCATTAATCTAAAATATAGAATGTAAAATTTTAAAATAATCAAAAAACAAAATAATGTCAAGGAAAATCAATGTCTATGTAAAACCTTCAATATCTAACATCAAATGAAAACCTTCAAAATGAACATCAAATTCTTTTTTTAAAGGATTTTAGACACTGAATTTTATACATATGTTTAATAATTTTTAAAATATCTTTCATTGAAGCAGTTTTCATATTATTCTCTTATTGATTCATGATATGATAAATATAATCAAACATTAATATGTTTTTTAGATTAAAAAAAATGTAAACAAAGTAAAATCAAAACAAAACAAAATAATCATCAAATGTAACATCAATACAGTTGTTGAGTTAAACTTTGGTTAAGTAGTAGTCTCATGTGTAGCTATTTATAGCTGAGATTGGTCGCCTACGTTGGATATATATACCCCAATGCTTATACGGATTATGTTATGTTTTCACTTGGAGTAGTTAACTCTTTCAAGTGTATTACGCCGTGGATATATCCCTTGAGTATGAACCCGTGTGTCTCTCGTGTTGTTGGCTTGCTCAGTGTGATCTATAGTTTTATCGTTATAACACTAGCATACATTTCATAAACATGATAATTTCATAAGTTAAAAGTTATTTCATGTTTTGCTTTAAATTTAATTAACCAAATTTTCATTAACTTGGTTAGTTAGTTTTTCATTATATAATAGAACTTACATTATGTAGACACATGTCCCTCCTATATATACGTGATTCGCCACTCTTGTTCTACGTTCACAAAAAGAAGAAAATTTTTACTAAACTTACAAAATATTTGATGCAAGCTATTATTTTAACTTTATATAGATTGTGGATTTATAAGTCTAACATTTTTGCATTTAACCTAAAACTAACTTTGATTCAAGTTTAATTAATTTAAGTTAATCCAAAATTTAAGTCAATACTAACAATATACCTTCTAACCAATGTAATTTGCATAAGTCATATAATCATGTTGAGTGAATCTAGGATGAAACCTTCTGTAGACTATTTCTTTAAACTAGAATAAACTAAAAATGAATCTTATTCAAAACATAATAAAGTACAAATATATAGCACTAACAAAAGTTGTTTGTAAACTTTACTTGCATAATAGCTCAATGTATTCCCAAACTATCAAAAGTATTAATTTGTTCAGAGTACAATCTCAACTCAATGATAAACATATACAACTAAAAAATGCTTACTTTGCTCCAATTATTTTGTCTTCGTCGTAAACTGAATTACTCATTTCATTTGGAGTCTGAATATATTTATATACTTCAAATAATAAAACATAAACGTAAATAAATATGGATTAAAATCTTAGATTAAAAAGTTATTTTATAAGAAAATTACAAAAATATTTTTAATTTAGACTAATCTTACATAATGCATTATTAATCAGATTAATATATATATTATCATAAAAAAATTCACATTGTGAACAATACTATCATTGACATTAATAACTAGTATACATAAATGTACAATCAAAATAAAATGTATCAATCATCATATATATTCAATAATTCATGGTAGTGGCTAATTATTCCTCACTTAACACTAATCATCATTCATCTTCAGTTTAGAGATATTTGATCGCTCGATACCATGCAAGGATAGATCAAACGGGGCGATATAATCTTCACAGACAGAGTTAAATGGGGAAAAGTATTGCTAAAAATGGGAAGATTAGCCTAGTGTGAGGGGTAATTAGCTTTAAATGAGGTATAACTAACCGCTTCCTAATTCATAAAATTATTTATTAAAAATAAATATCATATTCATATGATAATTTTTTTTTTCTAATTATATTATGAAAACATTAAAATATGCTAGTTTATTATAATAGAGTGAAAATTACATTAAAAAATGAGGAAATGTTAAATCGACCCATCTCTTTACTAAATCAACCCATCACGTGACTTTTTTTTGGGACGTGTCGCCGGTCGATTTAACGATAACATAACAAATTTATTGTTAAATTTAACTGCTCATCAAGAAGTCTCCCTTTAAGCGTGTGGTACGGGAAATCACTTTCGACGTCATGAGGCGTGTCGTTTCCGTTTTCAAGCTTCTGCCATACAAACTCTTCAAGAAGATGTTGAAATGTACATGGCACATCTGTTTGAAGACACAAACGGAAATCGGGTCACGTGATTGGTCGATTTAGTAAAGAGATGGGTTGATTTAACATTTCCCAAAAAATGTGATACAAAAACATAATTCATAATTGTTAAGAAAAAAATTGTAAAACATACTGAATTGATGTTTTGCATCACTATAGATGATATCTATTAGGGGATTATGCTACTTTTTGAAATCACATGCACACCTTTGTAACTACATTTTGTTTACTTGCTAGATTAAAGATAAACTTAAATTTTATTGATGTCTTTTCAAAGTCAAATTAATCGGATTACAATTGGTTAATCTATTATTCATCATGCAACATACAAAAATGATTTTAATTTGAAACACAATATTATATGATGAATACAATTTTTTCCTGCGTAAGAAGTCTCACTGAGTTAACTCATGAATTATTTTATACTTACCCTTGATTATATGCTTTCAATGTAATTTTATCTTTTAGTTTGAAATATATGATTGACAGATAATGATGTATTTTACGTTACTCTTAGCTGAAACTATAGCAATCACATAAAGAACTAAAATGACTTTGGAAATTCATATATACTATTCTATATGCAAAACCACAACATCATAGCATCTCATTGCCAAAAATTTAAATTTATTAATGAAAGATAAGAACTGAATAAACACATCCTTTCTTACTGATATCACATTTTTTTAAATTCGTTTGTTTCCGATATAGACACTAGATCTTGGATTCGATAGTTGAATTTGCTGATTCTGCTCTACTGACAATAGTATTAAGACTTGACATTCATAACAATCAACTGATACGGACATTTTTATGGCTAACAATTGATGATGAAAACATAATGGAAGTTGTCAGATTTTGTAAAAATTATAGTTCTTCCAAACCATTACTGCACGAAATATCAAGGGATTGGAATAAAAAACCAGACCTTTTTGTAGAATTTGAAATAAATCACATGAAACGTTAAAGCAACACTTTTCATCTCAAATTCTTACGATTTTCCATAATCTTTCTTTTCGATACGAACGAAGTCCACAATGAAGAGAAGAAGAAAAAAAATCAAAACGATTAAATATCATTCATCGTTCTCCAAAGCTACACTCCATATCTTTCCTTCCTCTAGACAATGTAAGTGTGGCAATCAGCACAGGAGTTGCAATTGAACCATTGTACCGCCTGGCAGCATTTGACACTGTTTGGTCAAACAGAAAGTCAAAGCACAGATGTTGGGGCTTCACGTAGCTGGTTGCTGGTTACGTCAAGGCCAACAATTTTCTATTTTATCGAGCTAATGTTTTTTATTTGTAAGGTTCCTCTGCAACGATCAGAGAATATTCACCAGAGTTCGACGGAGTACAATCCTCGAACAGTGAACTAATGTTTTTCTTTGTGCATGGACGAGTGCAGTATTTTAATGGAGACATTCGTTGTTCTTTTGAATTTCGCGCCCTAAATCCTAAGTCGCGATCTTAGCGTCGCGATCAATGGGCGTCCTGATTGGCTGCATTCCTAGGTCCGTCACGCAACCGAGTGGGCGCAATACCCGCTCTGGGCCTGAAATCACCTCTGTTTCAGCACAGGAAACATAGAGGCTCCATGTTCTCGTTTGATTTCTGTGAGCTTTTCTCACTGCTCAGTTTTTCTAACGACAGCTGGAGATATGGGCCAGTTCTGTTGGAGCCGAATTCGACCGGGGAGTTCGAATGCTTCAAGAAGAGTTTGAAGAAGTTGGGCAGGCGAGAGGCCTGATTCGATTTCTTGTTCTGATTGTTTGCTCCAGGATTTCAATTATAGAAATTTGCACTTGTTGTTTGCTCATGAAAGCTCATGTGTAGTAGTTTAGTTGATATGCCGTGCTGAAAGTGGCAGAGTCAGTGGAGCTGTAGGATTTCCTTCTTACCGGTTTCCGAACCGGATTTTCTGATTCTGATACAACATTAGCTGTGGAGAAAATCACCACTGTGGCGCCAAAATATTTTTGAACTTCCTGTAGGGTTAGAAGTCATCGGATCAAGATCTTCACTGCCTCTCTGGTTTCATCATCCGTGTTACTTATGAGTCTCGCCATCGGTTCACTACTTCAGTGAATATGAGTGTTACTCGGCACCTTTGTATGCAGAATCTGATTGTCTGATTGTTTCCAGGTTTCAGATACATTCTCGGTCGAATCAAACACCAAGTTTCGTTTGCCAATGCAAGGATGCCAATCCCTGTCGGGGCTGTTGGTGAAATTCACCAAAACAGCTTGCGGATAGGTCAATTATGGGAGTCCTGAACGTTCTGCAACGCATTCTGACCGATTGAATTTACCAGAACAAGTATTCCAACGGTTGACAAGTTCTTCTACAAGTTTTCATCCCGAACGGTGAGAAAACAACAAATGATACCAAATTATTCCTGTCAGCAAATCGGTTCATGTAGACATTGGTTAGATGATTTTTAATAATGGCTTTTGGCTTTTAGGTTTTTCTGTGGAGGATCGGTCATGTTCTTCGATGTCAACACATCAAGTGATGGGCAAGATTTCAAGGGAAGAAGGTGAGAAGAGAGGAATTATCGAGTGAAGAAGATGGGGAGTGTAGTTCTGGATGAGAAAATGGAGGACGCTATTTCTGGTCGGAAAGATGGCGATGGAGGAGCAAGCGACGGGAAGCTGAAGGAAAAAGAAACTGTGGAGGGTCAGTTCAAAGAGGGTGACAAGGTTTTGGCTTATCATGGTCCACTCATATATGAAGCCAAGGTAGGCCCCTTCACAATGTGATGTGCAACTGAAGAAAACTTTTCGTTCCCATCCTCATCAAATTTAAATTTTGAGTGGGCGAACTGGCCTCGACCCGTTGTTCACACTATGACTCGGTTTTCCTCGTTTCCAGACTTGGATCTTCGGCGCTTGTCATTTCTTCTTTTAAAGTTCATCGAAGCACGACCTGAATGTGATTCAGGTTTTGGTTTCTTCATTGAGTAGGTGTGTTTAGGTTTCTACTACATGAACTCCTCTCTGAGTCGATCTGAGATGTCTTTTGAAGAAGGCCAACCTGTGATTTACTTTCTCACAGGTGCAAAGGGCGGAATTTCGTAAAAACGAGTGGAAGTACTTCGTTCACTACCTGGTAAGTTGTTTCTAGGATTCCGCGTCCTGTTTTCATCGTTTTTATAATTTGTCAACATGTTTGCTGCTTTTAATTGGTCTTACTTCATCATAAAGCACCAGGGGGTAGAGTTCTTTGCCTTTTGAACTTTTTCTGCAATGCATCATCAGTCAGCCCTTTGTACCCCATTATCTTGTATCTTAAGAGACAAGCACCACGATCATTCATGGTAATCGCTCAAACACAGGATTTTCTGCAACCCACATAGGTTTAGATGAAGCATCCGTCTGAAGGTGCTAGAGTAAGCTGCAGGTGACGATATTCTGATTGGAATCTTGTAAGTGTTTGATTCAAACCTTTTTTTTCTGACATGACTGTCCCTCTTTCGATTGCAGGGTTGGAGCAAAAAGTAAGTAAAGAATGCTTACTGGCAACAGAAGAAGAAGACGCCTACTTACTATCACATCCATTTTATCCCTTTGAGCCCTCTGATGGATGGAAAGACTGTAGGAGTGTGTTAGACAAGTGCTCTTTAGACCCATCTTCCCTGCCTGGTCCATTGGGAACTTTCTCAGCACAGATAAGCGATTCTTGTAGGCACTGTTGTATCCAGTTGTTAATGTTCAATCAATCATGAATTAACGTCGTTTTGAAATAGAATGGAGCGCCGAATTTATAGTATTCAATCGTAAGCAGGAGACCAGGCTCTAATCCTTCATGGTTGATTGTGCATGTTGGACCTGTCAATGAAGAATAGCTGGGATGAGTGGGTGGGTACAAATCGTCTCATGGAATTGTCAGATGAGAATCTCGAGAGACAGAAGAAGTTGTTCAAGGACCAGAATGTTGACAAACAATCTAAGGGTCGCGTTTCTCAAGGAAAACAGAAGACACTCACCGGTATGATCTACTGATTTATTTGTAATTGGAGAATTGGTGTATTGTGTTTGTAGTTTTTCCAAGATTTATCCAATAATTGGTGTTCCATCTAGTATTAGTTTCCATGTAGTACTATGTGATCTATGTGAATTTCTGTGGCCAGTTTTTGTTCCAGTCTTTTGAAAGAAGTAGATGCGCTCTGTTCTTCAAGCTGCGTTTGGCCTAGGTTTGTCATGTTTTTTCCGAGGGTAGTTCAAAATAGAGATGACATTGGTGAGACATATTCGAGCGTTCTTCGGAGTCTTCAACGTGGAACTTAAGTCTTTCTGCCTCTCTACAGAGTCTAAGGGGGAGAAGGAAGGTGGCAAAACTAATTCTGGTCAGAGTTCCATCCATTCACTATTTATGAAGGAATCGGTCATTTGATCTTCTTTTTATATTTGGGTGGATCGTCATTTTATGCTTTGCTTTTCTTCTTCTGTGGCTCAGAGGAAGTACGTCTTTTCCTGTGCGGCCCGGGGTACTCCATCTTTTGTTGGTCTTCTATCATCAAGGATATCTGCGAGGGCATTTTGCTCAAGGGACTAAACTGAATTATCTCTGCTGGAATTGTGGAACAGTGCCGAAAGGGAAGAAGCGCAAATCGGAATCAACTGTCTCAGAGGTTGGAATTTGTGAATACTGCTGCCACTTTTTTTTCTTGAATCATTTGTGGGGATTCTTTTTTGAACTAAGCGTCAATTCTTCAGAGCTAGCAGCTAATTCTTTGGTGTCTTTATAACTTAGTGTCAAAGTTTCACACAACCATTATGAGACTTCTTTCAGCTTTATTCAACACGCTTTGTGAAATGCCATCCAGGAGAAGGATGCGGATGAGCCAGATCAAGTGATGAAAATTCCTCTACCACCTGTTCTGAAGAAACAGCTCGTGGACGATTGGGAGCTCATCCAGTCTGGAAAGGTATGTCATATGTTTTATGACCGTGATGTGGATCTGCATGCACAATTTCAACTTCACTTCTTTGAAACCTGGATAATATATATGTCCACCTTTATTTATCTTGAGTTGCGCATGTATTTTTTGTCATAAAGATTATCTGGTGTTGATGGAGAGGCAGTAGCATCGGTTATGGTTATTTTTTGATAATTTGCGACGCGATGACGTTTCAGTCTATCAAGCTTCCCCGAAAGCCTAGCGTGGATGAAATACTGAAAACGTATCGTGAGCTGAAGACCAAACGGGAAGGCACGTGAGTGATTTTTTCTTGCCTTTGGCTTATATTTGTCCTGCATATTTCCTATATTTATGAAAAAAAAATGAGTAAAATTTCTTGTGTAACATATCACCTAGATTATATTGGAGATTGTCAAATCGTGATATGATATGTGGCCATGAATTGGTACATCTACTCAGATTATTTGGTATTGTTTTTGTCAACTCTTTCTCATTGTCGGACTTCACTCCTTGGTTTTAAAGAATTCACTAGCAGTGGTATCGTATAATCTGAATATGGCTATGAGTTGGTGTGACTTAGTGATTCTTCCCTTAGCTGGATATTCCTCTCAGATGGCCGTGCCCTTGACCTTAGAGTCGCTTGATTCTATCAAGGTTATGGATTGGGCCGCTCATAGACTGCGAACGTCACACTGAGATAAAAGCTGATCCGGGTAGGTCTATGTGCAGGGATGAAGATTCAATTGGTGAAGTGTTAGATGGTCTTCAAGCTTATTTCGATAGAGCATTACCGGCCATGCTGTTATACAAGCAAGAACGTGCTCAGTATGCTGAAGCTGTCTCAGAGGGCAGCTCTAAACGTCCATCGCTAATATACGGAGCTGAACATCTACTCAGATTATTTGGTATTGTTATTGTCAACTTTTTCTCATTGTCGGACTTAACTCCTTGGTTTTAAAGAATTCACTAACAGTGGTATCGTATGAAAAAGAGCTGCGTACCGAAGAGGTACGAGTTGGTGGTGATCGTTGAGAAGTTTGCATGTCCTGTTGAGTGCAGTAAGAATCTCTTAGATTTCAGAGATAAGTAATTAATAATCTTGGTTGTAGGTGCCCTTCTATCATATATATCTAACTGGATTGGCGAGGCCAGTTTCTTGAAGGAAGTCGCTTGTTGTGGTTACGGATAGGTATCTCTAAGAATATCTCGGATCACCTCTTCTCAGTTTTATTTCATCTCACTACACTGTACGGACATTGACTTTACCATTCTGTATCTCCAGTGAAACTACCTGAGCTTTTGGTCTTCATAAATATGGAAGAAGAAGCTTTGAACCAGCTGCAACAAAGGTTGCAAGATTTCCTGAAGTAAGTGAAACCGTTTCGGAGAAACTGTTGTTTCTCTATATGTAAATTTCCTTGAACGGTTTACACTGGATGATGTTAACTCCTTCACTGTGTTGTTGGCAGATTCTTGCAGAAAAATCAGAGTAACTTCTTTATGTCAATGTATGACGGGCCTAAGGTTAGCACAAAAGTCGAGCCAGAGGAAAAGAAGTTGAAGAGGGACAATTCAAAAGCTGAGGATGATAAGAAAGAAAGAAAAGACGGGTCCAAAGTGATGGAGGATAAAAAGGAAAAGAGGGGTGGTCAGAGACTTGCGGACGACAAGAGAGAAAAGAAGGATAGCTCTAAATTCTCGGACGAGAGAAGCGAAAGGAAGGATGCAGGTAGGACAGGAGAAGAGAAGAAGGACAAAAAGGATGCAATGAAGTCCTTAGATGAGAAGCGGGATAAAAAGGATGTTACGAAAGCTTCAGATGAGAAGAGGAGGAAGGACCATCCCAGAGCGAAAGTAGATGGACTCCGTGGTTCCAGTGAGAAAGCCAACAAGAAGGATGGACCGAAAGGTGACAGGAAGGAGAAGAGGGATGGGTCTAGGCCCGCAGAGAAGAAAGACGGGCCTAAATCTTCTGACGATAAGAAAGAGAAGAAGGTGGCGTCGAAGGGACCAGACGATAAGCCCGATAAAAACAATGCATCAAAAGCATTGGAAGAGAAGGACAGGAAAGATGGCACGAAAAATGGGGACGAAAGGAAGGAAAGAAAGATTACAGGAAAAGCTGTCGAAGATAAAACGGAGAAGAAAACTTCGAAGAGTTCTGAAGAGAAGGAGAAGAAAGATTGTTTGCGAGGTTCAGATGACTCTAAAGACGAAGTACCCTCAAGACAAGTCGATGACAAGAAAGACAACACAGATATCTCGGGGCAATTGGATAAGATAGAAAAGAATGAATCTGCGGAGGAGGGAATAAGACCTGAGTCAGAGGACTTAGATGGCTGCGACTAACGCAAATTGTAGGTAACATTGGATACACAACACACGCGAGTTTTTTTCTCCATGCGGCAAAAAATATTGAACCTCATCTTTTTTTCGAGGATCTGCCTCACCCGATTGCCCTCCAAGACACCGATCCAAAATGAACTGCAAGGTTCTCAGGTGGGTCTTGCGTTTGGATGCTAGACCTTCCCGTACAGCAACGGATGAGAACCTTGGATCTGTCAATGGGAGCTGGCCTTGCCAAGCAGGCTAGCGTCACCTTCCTGAAAATGGGTAGCTAGCTAGCTTAGTGTATACAACTTAGTGTTGACTCAGCCTTCAAACATTTGTACATTAATTGCAGCAAGCATTCTTTAGTCATCAGCCTGGGTTTCAACATCCTCAGGACTTGATCCATATTTGCACTGGGGTTCCAACTTCTGCAGACGTATATTTAAGCAGCGCTCACCAAGTTCCGTAGTGTTTTAGGAACTCGTACATGACCAGCATGACGGTGCCAAAGTTCGGGAGTTACATAGCTGCAGCCTTTGAGGTGTACTTTAGCGCAAGCGACTTTGGAGGTATAAGCAGTCGACCGTGGATCATCGACTCTTTGATGCATGACGCAGCGAACGTTTGGTCCTGAGGAAACGATCATGTTCCTCTCTTCCTGCACTGTACACTTCGTGGCGGGACCCGTTTCTCTTCGCAATGTTGGGAGACTTGTCGTACATTGATCTATTCTGGACATGGATATCCGCTATAGTGCAGTTTCTATCCTCGTTGTCATGCATACTATGCAGTAGCCGTTTTTCTTTCACATCATCTCAGACAGAGAACAGTGAGAAGAAGTGGCGTGAAGTTGTTGCAACGAAAAGTCGGATATTCTGCATGTATTCTGTTCGGTACGGGGAACACTTCTGTCCGTATGCTAGTCAAACTGCGATCATCGGGAGACTTGTTTTCATCTCTTTAATTTTATCGACTTTGGCGTGCACTCCAGCTGGAATTTTCTTTCTATATATGACAGTAATGTTCTTCAAACTGTACCAATTGCTATGCGCCCGAGCACAAATTGTTGAGAAAACTAAAATGCAAACTGATCAATTTAGCAAGGTGTTGTAGAAAGTTAGTGTCACTGGAAACATTCCTGACAGTGTCCCTAATCAGAGCAAGGAAATTTACCATTACAGATGCATCGGTGAGAGAACTCCACAATACAAGGTCGGAAGTTCTGAAAATCTATCTTGTAGAAAAATTCGTACCGAGTAAGTTGTGGACTTGGTACAACGTACAGAACATCTCCTTAGAAGCGAAGTTTGAACTGGATATGTAATGTGAATGTATGAATTGAATTCAATATCGGGACATTTCCTTGGAGCAAAGGTTAGAGTCGTAGAGTCGTATATGTTATTATAGCTCTACATTCCATCAAACAAGCAGGTTCTTGAGCACAATCATCCCCCAACATCGAAGCAGTTAATCATCAAAAACCATCGAAATAATCTAACATCCAGGAACATCTCTGTTCCCTGGCCGGAACTGTGGTCCCCTACCACTAGGCCTCGGCAAGGTAACTTAAAATACCTTTTACTCGAGGGTAAAAGGTAAAAGTTAGGGGTAAAGGTAGGAAGATTTTCAATGGGTGACGGAGAGGGTGAGTAAAGGTAATGCCCATTTATTTACCCATTACCCGAGTAATTATCTCTTAAGTTGGCAGTATTTATTTGTGAGATTTTTTGTATATAACAAAACTTATGGCTTCTAGAATAATAATTATAAATACGTGTATAATCCTATATCAGAGCAAAGCGTTGACATGTCTTCCAGTTGTAAGAAATGCTAAGATTGTTAATTTATCGACATAAATAATACAATTGTCTAATGGTGCTCAAGCTTTCCATATTTTGACTAAAAGAGTAGGTTAAGAATAGAAAATGATGAAGGATTCACATCCTTCAGACAGTTTTTCATGTTTTATATCGAAAGATTTTTAATAATTAGAAAAAATATATTTACACATCTTATTTATATTATTTAGATAATAAAATAACCTTTTCACTTATTATTGGCAAACTGATAATCTTTGTATTGATGTTCAGAAGTTGTCATCAGAAACTCTTATCATAATGCAACCATTTGGTGATTCAAGAACGTAGATGAATAAATATAGGTAAAATGTATTTTTTATTTTTATTGGGTAATTATCTGATTAACGGATAAATTAAAGAGAAAAAGTATTTTTTATTTTTATTGGACAATTACCCGTTTAACACTTAAAGTAAAGGTAAAGTGTAATTTTAAATTTTATTGGGTAATTACCCGATGTATGGGTAAAGTAGAGGTAAAGGTATAAGTAAAGCGCGACCAACGTGGTAACGGTAGGGGTAGAACTCATTTTATTACCCGTTTAACTTTTACGTTACCTTGCCAAGGCCTAGGTACCACGGCGCAATCTCTTCGTCGTTGAAGCTCCGGTGTTTGACTACTCTCACTAAATCGTCCGAAGACATATATACGTCCGACACTTTCTGAAACCGATCACGGACGTCGGACGGACGCAATTGATGAATTAGGTCTTTTCGCCGAGACCTGAAGTTCTCAGGCAACCGGCCTCGCTTACCTGTGACACAGGTCAACCTGTCTAGATTATTCATCCATTCCAAATCGCTACCCAGGTGCGGGTCCGTCATGTTCTGTGCGTGAAGGATCCGAGCCCACATAGGAACCAGTCAACGATTGAGATCGACGGTAGGCGAAGGTTTAAGACCGGAGGCTTAGCCTCCGTTCGCCGTGTCAAATTTGTTGTAATTATTTTTTACAAACGAAAATACTGTTGAATTTAGTGTTTCAAGTTTATCAATTCAAATTCACTTCGGTCTTACTGGTTGATATGATTCTTCGGAGATCAAAGGCGATGAATATGCCTTGGATTAAATCCAGAGTAGCCCCCAAAGTAAGAAAGTATAAAAAAATTTTAAAGTAAGAAAACTTATGGCTTATTCGGAAAGTATCTGCTACAAAGATGTAAAATTTAGCACGTACAATAGCAAAGTTGTAAAAATTTTTAGATTAATATTTCAAGTTTTCATGGATGTTTCCAAAAAGAATATGATGAATTTACTTTGAAATCCAAATTTTTGAAAGTTATTAAGTCTTGTGTATTTGGTGGTTTTCACTAGGACTTACATTGCTCTCGCATTGTATGTACCTTGAGCAGTGTAAGGTAACCTACCTACAAATGTGTATTGAACAGAAGAAAATCTAAATTGGAGCATTATAGAATTAAAAGTCTAGGAAATTCAAAGGAATATGTAACTTTTGTATTTGATGTTAATTTTTTAAAACCAAAACCGTTGATTATCTATCTAAATACTGGTATAGAAAATTTTTAAATGACATATTATCTATAACCGGATTTATATACTTATACTAAAAATTGTCTGCGTAAATTAAGCGCCTCTCAGTCTACTAAAAAGGTTGAAAATATATCATAATCAATCAAGAAAAAATTTGTTCAGAAAAATATGAGATTTACAGATTAAGTTGTGATAGTTCACAGGGTAATCATATACAACCTGAGTTACTATAATCCCAAGTCTAATACCCAAACTTTGACTTGTCAAAGTTTAGGTCTTAAACTTAGGTATCATCATATGAAAGAGCAGACACCAAGAGCAATTGTAGAGCCACCATGACGTAGATGAAAAAAATTTGAAGAGCTGACTGATCGATAATCCAAATGCCAAAAAAACTTACATAATATAAGATTTATGGATGTTAATTTCCACATCATCATGCAATAAAGTCTGGCATTGAGTTGAAAAATGCAAAGGTGATCAAACAAAGATATCTCATAGCAAAGGTGATCAACCAAGACATCAAATCTTTCTTGATTAACTTGGATAAGAGAACATCTCATCCACATCGGAGAAAATACATAACGATCCTTTATGACTATATCCTTGTCGTCGTCTCCTTGATCCCTAGTCGTCCACAGCACGATGACAAGCAATCACCTACAAAATACTATAGTACCTGCAATAGTCAAGACTTGACCAAAATTCTGCTACCAGCTTCTTCCAGTCCCACCCAAATAAATATATACACATTGTGCATGCTTCTGGAGACCGTGTTCATTTCTGATTCTCAAAGAAGTTCGCATGCACAGTTTCATCGGGATTTACGGGACCACTGGTTTCATTGCAGATTGTTAGCTCCTGCTCTAGCGCACGAATATCATGTTTCAGCTTGCAGATGGTCTCAATCGCACAATTGAGGATGGTTTCCTCGTCCACACGAGGTAATCCTGGCAAGAGACTGCCCAACAGAAATATCATTCGGTTCAACTTTTCAATCTCTTCGGGAGATTCAAAACCCAAGGATATGTCCTCAGAGTTCAAGGATGAGAAAGTGCAGTCAGATCCCTCACTTGTGTTTGGCGAGACTTGACCACCTTCGACACCATTTGATACAGATTCAGTTGCTGTTGTCGACACCGACGACATGATGATCTGGAAATCCCATCATGGAAGAATTGATCAACTTACAACAAAACATCGACACTTTTGCGGTTATTAGTCTTCATCTTCATGAAGAAAATTACTTAGTCTACAAGTTTTGAAGCTCATCATATTGGATGCTTTCTAAAAGCAAGTTCTTATTTAGCGTCGAAAGAAGAAAATCTGATCAGTAATATCACGATCGAAAACATTCTTTTATGCAAAAATCACAGCGTATCAACGAAAAAGTTTTCTTAGAAATGGCTTACCTCTGCCTTGCGAGATGAGTGGCTCTGGGTGAAGAGGGCTCTCTAAAATGAAGACAACTACTTCAGATTAACGAAGATTTATGCTTTATACACTCAACGACTGATTCAGTGCTTCTTAAAAAGTTGGCTTTGTAGAAGTCCACGTTTCTTGTGAACGGTGCCCAAGGATGGGGCTGATCAATCAGCATGGATGTACGAATGAATCTGGCCAAGGCAAGACATGATACCACGGAGTAGACAATCAGTCCCTCCTAATATTTGAAAACTCGTGGACTTTCATTGATGGAACCATGCATAATTGCTCCGTAAGGTATCTCCAATGATATTGTCATTTAGGTTTCATAGGATTGCACACTGGTCCCACACTTGAACAGATTCCTAATATTGGTCATATTTCCAAATACTACACGTGTCAGACTAAATCAACAAATTTTGATATTTTCTTAACTGATATTCTTGTACAAGCCTTATCGTGAATAGTCGAAGCTTATACAAATGTCAGTTGGTACTACATTGTTCTGTATTTCTTCTTCAGTTGTAAAAGAAAACATCTGAACTGCAGTACCAAAACTTTGGAGAATCGACTGATGTGAAAGGTCAAGCAGTTGTAAAGAATATAATTATGTTAAAATTATCAACGAATTATATACAAGTTTGTAAAGAAGATATCGGTCTCACGTAGGTTGACTTGAAAAAGTGAAACAGATACCAATCATTGTCTTAGAAAATTGCTAACAGCCTTCGAGGCCTCGAATTCCGGGAGCGTACCTGGAGTGGGGACAGGATTCTTAAACCGTCCAAATTTGGTCCATCTTATTGAACCATTGGTTGGACGTTTGGATCTGCAAACTAGTCCAAGCAGCTTAGGAAATATGATAACAGTGCTACAATAGAACGATTCCGAATATTAAATGCACTGAACCTCTTCATGATCTGAATTGCAATTTTTTCCTACCTTTTCCACAGGGCGCCCTCATCGTTACATCTTCTAATGATATTATGGGTTCATTTCTTTCCCTCATTAATTTTTAATTAGTATCTCCCATTCTAAGGTTTATAAATCTCTGTCTGCATGTGTGCCCCATTTTTCTAATGTTTTTTACCAGATCACTACATTTGTAACAAATGAGAAGCGGGTTCCGCACAGCAGAGGGGAATCACATCGAGAGAATCATGATTACTACTAATCATTATGATTCTATGATCTCATCTGATCTATGCTGATGAAATAGTCAAACTTGTGTATTCTCAAGTAGTATCGAAGCGTGCAGTCATTTTGCAACGTACATGGCCGTACACAAATTGTCAACAAGGCAGTTCAGGAGTGTGAGATCTGAGCATCTACTGTACACTTTAGGTTGTATTGTGAGTGAAGATATAACTTCCACATAGAAAGTGGTCCTGACTTTGCATATGGCTTACACATCATTGTTTGCGTTATCAATTCACATGCCACTTAAGACAAGTTTAAAGAGTAAAATCACTGATTATTTCAAATCAGAGGTCAGTGCCTAATACGAAGAAAAATCACAAAGAGATTCTAATCCTCGAACTTATTTGAATGTTGAAGTTAACCTTCTACAGAATGCGGCTAGTTTTTCCAAGCTAGGATTTTATGGGCGTTGTATATAGCTCACCGCATATAAAAATCACTTATAGGTTTCAGGAATTGCCAACTTTGAGAACATTCTAGACTTATTCATGTTTCTCAACTGTAGTACTGATCCTGGCAGTGGTATTCAACCTCAGATACGTATTTCACAACACTCAGACATACTTTTGAAGTTAATCTGATTTCCGCCCTTACAAATCCTAGACGTACCATAGATGGGCAATTTCGTGTTTTCAGGGTAATAAAATTCCAGAAGAAATCTGATGGACACAGTCTCCATGCAGTACATGCTTTCGAAAAGAGGGACCACCGTTACACTAGTGAGGCTGGTAAATGTATCACCACATGAATGCAATGACTTCTTCGAATTTCCGCAACCTGAGAACAACAAAGTTTATTGCAATCCGAATATTGCGAGAGTCATCAACTCACGATAGACAAACTGCGTCGCATGGAATGAAAGGAGCGCTGCAACCACATCGACAGTCGACACGCAAATCACGACCAGTAGTCTTCCATTTGGATTGACTGTCAGGGAGGGAGACGACCATCAACAGCCGTCAACATATGGTCGCCACCAGTTCTGCCGGAGATTGTGCTAATTCCCCTTTGACTTCTCAAGAGTCAAACTTTTCAACGTTACGAACTCTAAATCATGGCCCACAGAGAGGTACGATGAGCTTGATTCGGAATAGTCATATGCAAGATCAAGACATCACACTGGTGATTACTGCTGGCACATGCGACCTGCACCTCCAAGATTGCAAGCATCCATCGAGCTATGTCCATAGGTCCTCCTTGTGTTCTCCAAGGAAGAAAAGGTTTTCGAAGTCCTGATGAAAGACTTGAATTTGGAAAGTCTCCTGACTCCAGATCTTACTCAGGTATAGCTTATATCGAAGGGCTCCCTGGATTTTCTCATGTACACTTGATAACAGTGACGGATGTCGACGAACAGTGCACCTCATCGATGTTATTATCCTCTTTGCCATTACTCCTTCAAACTAGACTTGCGCTGGTAACGGTGGTTTAGTTGAAATTTCTCCGAGAAAGCATGTGACCAATTTGACAAGCGCTTGTGAGCAGTCGTACACGAGGATAAATTTGGTTACACTACTGTAACTTGATTGATGACTGCGACAGATACGAAATTCGATATAGATGTGTCCTTCTGACTCCTTCGCTATGAATAGAGATGTCCTATTCTCAAAGTAGATTGAGCTTTCCAGCAAAAGCTTCCAGTTTTCAGATCAATTGTGCAAGTTCTGAGAGAGAGAGAGAGAGAGAGAGAGAGGATCCAACCACCGAGTCTCATAACTTTCGCTGGAGATTGATTCCTGGCATCATCATTGTCATAATCTTTTACCATCATATGTACTATTCCACAAACTTTTCTGAGAGTTCAGCTATAATACATTTGTTTCCAGCTCAATTTAATTAACCTTAACCTTCCGAAGAAGCAGATTCACAAAAGACATCTGCGGCACCATATTTGCTTTTACTAAGATGGGTGTAAGTCATTCAGCCGAACACATGCATGACGTGCTTATAAAGTGCTCGATAATCTCAACAGCGCTTTAAACTGAAGTGGGAAGGTCCTTACTGCGTGCTTTCTCTTTCATCATGAATTGGTATTCGAATTGCTTCTCTGCCTTGGTAGCACCCAATTTTCGGTACGTGTTTACAGTTAGAGTGGATACAGCGGTCAGAGACTTGTTCACTTCAAGTGACGTTAAGCTCGAGGGCAAGTTTCAATTAGAACGCCGTTTCCAAAACTTGGGAGATTTGAAAGTCAAAACATTTTTTCGTCTATCTTTTGTCAAAGATTTGAGGTTTCAAATAAACTATATATTATATGATAGTAATATATAATAATCTACTAAAAACATATGATGCAGTCTGAAGTCGTCGGACTACTGTGCCGACATGCATCACCTGGCTAAACTACCTCTTTCATTCTTCTGAATCTACAATTGGAGATCAAGTATCAGCTGTGGAAATTGATAGCCCCTTTTTTCCTGCTTCTATTGATTACCAGATTGAGTAGCTTGTCAATAATAGACTACAGACTTCACACAACGCCATGCTGCTCAATATGGGCAAGAGTGTGGAACTCGATCAGTCAGTCAGACCCGTCAATCACTTACCTCCAGCTTTGAAGCGCAAATTTGAGCTGGCAATACAATCTTTCGATTAGCGGATCAAGGACTCAATCAATACACATTACATAATTTTTGAATACATGGGCGTAATTTGAATAGCATGGGTGGCACAGGTAATGTTCTGGGTGGGCATAGGTAGCCGCTGATGATTACGGTCTGGTCTCGTACAAATTTGAAGTAAAATGTTAGCCTCTGCTGGTAAGCGTATAATCATCTGTGAAAATACATGATAAGTAAGGGAATTCAACTTGGTACAAATGTTAGTTTCTTGCTGAAGGTTTTACCAAACATGAAGCCATCGATTAGAAGAAGACTTACTCCAAGTGATAGTTTCTGTCAGATAAGGTTGTTTATCAAGTAATGCATTTCACAAGCTTAGATGATGAATGTCGAAACTGCCTGGCAATATGGCAGCTTGAATGTGAAATATACCACTAACTGTTTTTGCTAAAGACAGTTTCAAAGTTCAAGGTCTCAAGCCTGAAAGAGCTTTGTGAATAATAGCAGTGGAATAAACTTCATCTTTAAGTTTGCAATATCTTTCAAGAGAAACTCGTGATTTTTCAAATGTTTTTTCTACTCCAATGCTCATAAATGAAGATAATGAAGCATGTATTTCATAAGTTAAGAAGGTCTACATTAAATGCTATTAAACCAATCATTACATTTCAGAGTTTCTATTCTAAACCATGATTAGGTAGGATCGTATGGATGTCAAGATACTAGGTCTGAATAGTATCTTACATACCAAGTTTATCATCATTTATTAAAGCATCTGTAGTGTTACTCCTGGAAGTCTTGACAAGGAAGAAACCGGAAATTTATCCAGTTGTATTTTGAAGCAATGATACTGCACGACTTCAATGTGCAGAATACGTAAAACACCAATTTTAGTCATGATACCTCGAATAGAGCAGTTGGAGCATAATATTGCTAGAGCATGTGGCGATATCTACAAATGCTAATGACTCTATTTCATCCGATGAAGTTGTACAATTCGCATATGCTTTGGCATAATCATGTGCAATTATGACACATAAGCTACTAGTCTTCAGCAGCGTCTATCAACTTGGATCTATGTAGAGAAATCTAGACAACTCTAATTTGTTACACTAAATACTTCAGTGGGAAAAAAATGCATGGATGACATACTCAAATGCATGAGGATGGATTCGTTGAAGCATACATATGTATTTAAATAAATAAACAAAGACATATAATCAATTAATGTTGAGAGACGTTAGTTGTGTTTATCTCAAGTTGTTTTTATGTAACATGGAGCCAAATGTACACTTTATTATATTATAGTCTAGTGAACGAAAATTGGATCAAAAAAGACTTTGGCAACATATAGGGACTTCAACTTACGATTGTTTACTACATAATCTTTTACAACTTTCAAATGCTCCAATGTATGTACAAAGATTCTCGCAAGCTTTTGATTGTTTGAATGCTTATGATTGTTTGTGATTATATATTTTCCTAAAATACGGGTTGTAATGATAGAATCTCAGCATATGTGTAGTGAAGTTTAGAGTGTTATATTGGATATTACAAACGTGATGGATATATATGTTACATGTAAAATAGGTTAAGAATGATAATTACTCCTTTCTTAAAACGGGAAAAGAGGGTGATTACATCAGCCTTTGTATAGAACTTTGCAAATATCTTATCTACTTCTTATTGTAATCTTAGAGCTTATACACAAGCTATAGGTTCTGGATGTGAATTTCGACATGCTTTTTTCAGATTGTACAAAAGCTTATCCTACAAGACGAGACGTTAGGATTTTTATTTCCGGAATCTATTGCTTTATAGAGATCACTTGCTATTGCTATCCAACTTTAAGCAATTTTATAACTCATTTGATCATCTACGTATTAGTAAATAGTACTGGAGACTAGGTTTCTCGGGTTTCATACTCGAAAGTTTTCATAGATACCTCCCACGTATTTCTTGTCCCCTTTCCACATTATACTCAAAGCACCTTCCGAATTTTGGGATACTATTAGAATATCATGGCCACAAACATGAATGTTGTGCGTAGATGCGGCACTTTGAGTGCTGTTGGTCTACTTGCAGTAATGCTTGTTAAAGTCCAAAGTTCATGCAGTGGCGTGCTCGATCATTCTTGATGGTGCCAAGGATAAGCTGGCGAGCAGCTTGTCCGCTTTTCGGATCTCAGGTTGAATCTGAGCCACGAGTAAAATAGGAACTTCACTATAAGCACGACCTTCTACGATCCATGTGCGCACACTACTCTGCGGAATAATTGCACATCTGAGGTTCGACCGTAGCCAGATTTGAGGCAGTTATGTTTCTCTGATTGTTTCTTGGCAAGTTTATGTTCGCAGTGGCGTACCATTTTGCAACCATTTGGATTAACGCCTAGGAACATGCATGATAGATCATTATGGTCTTCGATGACGCATCGGTCACTCCCCAAATGTCGGCTTTGCAAACGCCGCAACGACGAAGTTCTGAGGAGACAAGCTCTGCTCTGCCCAAATCCCCTCTTCGTAGCCCTGCCTGCCGGGTGCCCAACGGTCGCTGTGCTGCCCTTTGCTCCGACGGTCCTTCGGGCCTTCGATGCCTCCTTTGAGGCAGCAGACAGAAATCTGCGAATGTCCTCAAATGTCTCACCGGGTGTCTGCCGTCATTGCCGTCATTCTCGACCAGCAGTTTCTCCAGTGCGCATGAAATCGCTGGCACTCCGATGGAGATCGAGCTGGAGGATCTGTACCCTGAATAACAGAATCGAAGCCGAGTCAATGAATCGAGTCACGGGAGTGGTTAGTGAGAGTAACTGACAGATAGATTTCTGGTTGCGTTGCTGCGGCCTTCCAACAGTCGCCGGCGGGCGGTTGTTCTTTCGTGGCTTCATTTGCTCGAGAATTTCATCGTACTCATGCATCCGAGCTCTGCAGTGGGTGCAAGTCTGTAGGACCTGAGAGGCATTCTGGTCTCCCCGGACGTCTGCGCCTGTTGCTGAGAGGATTCGGATTCGGATTAGGATTAGGCCACGGTGTGATCGGATCGCTTTCGGAAAGAGATATCAAAAGGCCTGAAACATTGAATTGGGGTCATGCCATCTGCCAGAGTGCTGCAGGAAGGGCGGTGCTCCACGGAAGTGAGAACTGTCATACGTGAACTTTTGGCCAATTGGTGGGATGGTCGGGGATCCACGAGATTCATCAAGACCAGACGTCAACCTTCATCCCTCTTTAATTGCCACGACGCCCTCGCTCATGAGCCATGGCTGACTGCGGCGAGAGAACGTTTTTCTGTCACTGGGATGTGTCTGACAGCGACGCCAACCGGTTCTTAGACTTGCACGGGTAACCTTTCCTGGTCTCTCCTCTCTTGCTCTGATTTCCTTCATGGTGAATTCGTCCTACAAACTCCCATCGAGCATTAGCCATCAAGCGCATTGTACATCTTCACAATCTATCTGCGCCTGTATTGAAGTGGTCATCGCATCCCTTCTGCGCTGAGGAAAACCCTTCTGCATTTGAACTATTGTCCAGCGTCGTCCTCGCGTGCTCGCATTTGGCGATGCTTGCCTTAATGGGAAGATCCACAGCAGAAGTTTATGGCTCTGCCAGCACAATGCGCAGCCCACATCGTGGCAATGGCTGGTTTGTGTACGAGAGAGACATGTCGTCCGTGTAAATTCTCCTTTCCTTCTCTCCAGACGGAAGCATGCAAATTGCGAGCTTGACTATGCGGGGATCTGGGTGACACCTGCTAAGATTTCCGGGCATGTGATCTCAAGGATTTTGTTGGTGCAGTAGTGGTAGTCAGTGGAATGGTCGAGCGGCAGTGGACGCCGCCTGCAAGTCAGGGGAGGGAAGCGTCAATTTCATGGATGTGGACACGGACATGTCGGACCCCGAGGCGGATGAGAGAATCCCATTCAAGAAGCACACAAAATGGCCCGCGACTTCGGACGACAAAGTGGGGCGAGACGAGGAGGAGGAGGAAACCCTAAATGAGTTGCACCATGCCCTGCAGGCATGGCCGTCCATCAAGCAAATTCTGTCGGAGATCAGCAAGCAGAAGAAGATCGGAGGTCCGATCGCAGCCATGAACATAATGTGGTTCGCGAGATTCATCATATCCACCATGTTCTTGGGCCACCTGGGAGGGTTGGAGCTTGCAGGAGGAACGATGGCCCTGACCTTCGCAAATGTCACGGGATTCTCCATCCTCATGGGTCTGTCCGGCGGAATGGAGCCCCTCTGTTGCCAGGCCTTCGGCGCCAAGCGCCACAAGCTCATCGGCCTCGCCCTTCAACGAGGCATCCTGCTCATGCTGCTCGCCTGCATCCCCGTCTCGTTCGCTTGGCTGAACGTGGAGAAAGTCCTGCTCTGGTTCGGCCAAGACCGCGACATCGCAGCCATGGCGAAGCAATATCTCATCTACCTGCTGCCAGATTTGGTGGCCACTGCCGTGCTGAGCCCGCTGCGAATCTATCTCCGGTCGCAGTGCATCACGAAGCCCATGATGCTGTGCTCCGCCCTGGCCATGTCTCTGCACATTCCCCTGAATTTCTTCCTCGTGTTCGGACTGAAACTGGGCGCTTCCGGAACAGCTTTGGCCTCAGCCCTTACCGACCTCAATCTGATTATCATGCTCGTCATCTACATCCACCAGACGGGAATTCATCGACGATCCTGGCCCGGGTGGTCGAGGGCGAGCTTGCAAGATTGGGGCCCGTTCATAAAACTCGCAGGGCCTGCGTGCCTCATGACATGCTTGGAGTGGTGGTGCTATGAAACCATGACGCTTCTGACGGGCCTCCTCCCAGACGCGCACAAAGCTGTGGCCATCATGGCCATCGTTCTCAATGGCGACACCGTGTGCTACGCATTGCAAGTGGCTCTGAGCTCGTGCGTTTCGACTCGTGTCGGCAACGAGCTCGGGGCCAATTCTCCATTAGCTGCGTACCATGCTTCTCTGGCGGCGCTGAGCGTGAGCGTCGCGCTCGCGTGCTTGGGCGCGACCTGGCTCATCTGCGCGAGGAAGATTTGGGGCAAGCTCTTCACGTCGGACAAGGACATTCTGCTCGGGGTGGCCAGGCTGCTCCCGATCATGGGCCTCTGTGAATTCGGCAACTTCCCGCAGACGGTCTGCTGCGGTGTTCTGCGAGGCAGTGCTCGTCCTTCGACGGGGGCGTACGCCAATCTCGGCGCGTTTTATCTGGTCGGCATTCCGCTCGGAATCTATTTGGCTTTCTCGTGCAGATTGGGCCTGCTGGGCCTGTGGCTCGGGCTCCTGGCAGCCGTGCTCACCTGCGCCATTCTCACCGTCACTGTCGTGCTGAGAACCGATTGGATTCTCGAAGCTCTGCGGGCCCAGCACCTGACAGACTCCTCCCACGCGGATCTGGCCAGTCCTGCGGACTCTTTTGTGTCCGAATCTCAAACTCCGTGCCTTCCCCGTCCTCCTCCTTCTCCTCCTCCTCCTCCTCCTCCCCTCGATGAACCTTCGCATGCCATTCTCGCTCTTCAGCAGCTGCCTTAGATTTCTATCTTGTCGCCCTGTCGTGGATTCGACTTCACCCAAGGGCTTGTTGTACATACCGTGCAGTTTTGAATGTGCGCGTGGTCGTAGCTGGACCGACATTCAGATTCCCAGTAATCCGCATCGGCCATTTCGGTTCCTGCTGCTGCTTATTCAGCTCAATTCCAACAGATCGGACCACTTGCGCAGCGAAATCTGACTCTGAACCCCAACAATTTGTAGACGCCAACTTCGGAGTTTCTACTAGCTCTTCAAAGTTGGCCAGTCTCGAAAGGCATGGGTGGTGCTGTGAACTCTGAAAGGATTGATTCTGCTGGGATTTGAATTGAGGCCAACAGAGATATTTGGACTCTGCCATTCGAGAGACCGGATCTGACACGAACGGTACATTTTGCAGTGGCAAGGTTAAATTGCGATGCTCCTGCAAGTCTTGGCTTACCACATTCGATGTCTGCGGACAGAGTCTTCGCTCTTCTGAGTGCACTTCAACAGCCAAAGCAGAAAGACAGATCCGAAGGTTCCTATTAATATGCTGGCAGATTAAATGTGAAATTGCAAAGACAACTGGCGATTGCAGTAATTTGCTGAGCTTAATTCCCGACGAGGTGTTGTGGTATTTTCACGAACACCGCCCTGTGTGTGTTGCGAAGACATGAGGGGATGAAGGTGATCAACTGCACAATTTTGGAAAGCTATTAGATGTGAAATTGAAGAGTTAAAGCTCCAGGAGCATATCAGCTCGTAAACCACCGAACACTTATCTTGGAAACAACTTCGATCGGATCGTTACAGAAGGAAACCGAAGGCATCGAAATAGATGTGGTCCCCCAGTCGAGCATCTTCCTATCTGCGATGAGATTCTATCCTGACATACTTCTACAGATAATATGGATCTCGAAGGGTAGCGGTAAGTGCCGTAGACAAATGGGGAAAAGATCCACGACTCGTATCTGAACCAATGGAAACCAACTCTAACTCTTTATTAAGCACACCTAAGAAACAAATTTCGTTGTTTAACATCAGTTAATTCAACAAATTCAGTCATTCATTTGTGACGAATATAACCTGCAGCCGTTGTTGCTCAGTGGACTCAAAGTCTCACTCTTCATCGTGACCTTTTCGCTCTATCATGCACTTGACGCTCTCTGCCAATTGCAATGTGGTATGTGGTTGATTTCTTTGGGTTCTAGCAACTTGGTCCATAATTGAAATAACCTTTGTGTACTAGTCTTTTTGTGGATCTCATCCATCCATGAATGTAATCAAAAGTCATCTTTCAAAGCTTTATAATTTATTCATTCCATGCATGGATTTTTATAACTTATAATTTATAAAACAACAGGTATCACCTGGCTGTTGATAATTGATTCTTGTCGTTATCACTTCATCCCGCAAAGTTCTCTCTTTACTCATTCACTTTGAAACTCTCTTTGTCCGTTTGCTGCTTGCATCATTAGTTCAAGTCAAGATTGACAATCTTGACTTCAACTAATGTTCTCTTTTTCTCTTGAAAAGAGTACATTAGTATTACTATCACCAACCTATCTTTTGATACATATCTACCAACAACGAAGACAAATAATACTATGGGCGACCAGAATAGATAGGTGATGTAATCTAGCTTCTTTTTTTCACATGGGCTGATAATTATGATGCGATAGAGTGTTGTCAAAGATAAAAAAGAGTTGGGGGAAAAAGGTAATAACAAAATTTGAATGTTAAGATTTTTCTTGGAATTGAAATTATATTACCAAATAATGAGACTCACTACTCCAAATTTTCATTACTGTTTAGATTATAGAATCAGCATTCAAGATGCGAGTGATTAAAATTGATGATTCAGAATTATTTTAAAAAGTTGATAAGTATGTATTATTATGAATAAAAAACACAAATCCATCAATCTATCATGTATTCTAAATTGCTCTTAAATTGGATTCAGATATGTTCATAATGATTTGAACATCAAGTAAATTTTTAAGATTTATCAGACAATGGAGTAATTGATGTAGCTCTAACATAAATCAAGTACATATTTTGTCTATAGCTTGAAGTTGAGCTCTATATTTGTTTCCAAATAGTTCTTTATGTTGGGACGCGTATTTTTTAAAAATGATGTGTTTTCATATGCTACCAAAATCCCGATTACTTGATCTAAACGTTTAATGATTTGAAACTCTCTCATGGTAATAAGATTTTAACTTTGTCCTCATTTGAATACATAACTTATTGTCACACATCTGAATGGTGTTTTTAATTTCATTATTCAACTTTACCACTTTACCGTATTTAACTTAATATTTTGGAAAAAGAAGATGCAAACATGACATGAAAAACAAAAATTCTTTCTTCCCAAAATCAAATTAGCATTTGAAATAAAAATCAATCCAATTCAAGATTGGCCAAAATATTGAAATTATCCATTCCTTCGTAATTTCATTTTGAGAGTATAACTTTTACATGGGCGAAGACAACTTTGGTAGCAAAGAATCATGTTCGATAATGATATTTTATATCCATGACAATGTGTAACACTAGGGTTTAGAGAGAAATTCACTCGAAGATAGAAACGTAAACTCTGAAGATGATAGATACCAACAATGTTTCTCCTCTCCCTTATATAGCTCTCACCAACAAGTACAAGGTGATAAGATCTAATCCCCACCATCCATCCCACTCATAGTGGATGGATGACGTAGCGGATAACCCTAACAAGCACACGGATCGCTGACGTGGCGCACCCAACTAACACACTCAATCCTTACCTACAAGCACACGGATTGTTGACGTGGCATTGTCAACTAACACATACACTCTGTACCTACCAAGTGCGCGGATCGCTGACGTGACAACTATGACTAATGCACACTAAAGTATCTACCTCCATATTCAGAGTAACCTCTACTTTAGTTCTAACTAACTAAAGATGGTTACACAATGTTTTCTTTTCTTACATAAATTGAGAAGTTAAAGTAGGTGAATGTTAAGATGTTCAAGTACACATGCATCTCTTCAGATATTTTGAAGCTTCCTCTTCCATGTAATGGTCCCCTCAGTTATAATTGGCCAATATGTCAAACATGACTATTATCGTACCACGAAGAGTATTACCTGTATAACTTTCGTGTTCAGCACATAATAATTACACATGAATGTTGACGTGCACGTACACTTACTACTCTATCATTTGAGCACGAAGTAGGCTACTTTACTAAGGTAATAAGCAATCTTTACTTCATGTATCCGGTTCATTTCGGTTGCGTTGAGAGGCTTGCTACAACAACACGCACGTTGCTGGTTGATTTGTACCAATCAAAAGAAAAGAAATGATTTGGTAGCAAGAATTATATTTCCAAGTCTTGCAAAAAAGTAATGATCATAAACTTCTTGTTAGTGTTTCAAAAGATGGTATGACACTGCAAGTCAGCTCCACGCTCCGCATGTATGAGAGCTACCTCAACTTGTAGGAGAATCCGTATTTCGTAACGAAATATCGATGAGTTTGAAAGCCATTTCGAGATAGTTTCATCGTCAAAATCGACATTTATCTTGTTGCACAGTAGAATAACTAATGCACTGCTACTGCAATTATGAGAGGACAATTTTTACACGCAATATCGCAAATGTCGAAACTTCGTATAACATGCGCTGAAGATATTTTCAATTAGAAGTGGATGACATAACACATAACCCACTTTCATCGGCATTCCTCTTCGAGCAAGGCTACCTACCACACGCATTTTTAGGTTCATTACTTCAGATGGATCTATCATCTTTCTTCTCATGAATCAACCTTTTTCTTATCCTCTACCCTCAAGATAAGAAAAACTTGAAAATCGAATTTCAGTCAACAGTATTGGCCAGCGTAAAACGAAGTTACACATTATGGCAGTTATTTATTGAAATACCAATTTTTTACGAGGGCCATTGGCGAGAGTGTCACTAAATTACAAACACTGACGTATGGGTCATTCAGCTTTTTTCTGTGGCCCACAACAGCACTAACTTTCTTCTCAGACTAAAACTAAAAGTATAGATTTACCCCTATTACTGGACAAAGGGTGTTGAGTATTGATATTGTACCAGAAAAGGCGAAACCGCGGAACTTCCAAGGTGAACAACATCAGAAACCAAAGTTCGGCCTGCAATTTGTAAAGTATGCAGACGTTGAAGTTACAGAGAGTTCTGTGACTCGAGAGGTATACCTCGCCTTGGTTAGCAACGTTGTTGCAGGCACTTCAACTTCTCCTAAATTCTGATGAGCTGGGTAGCGGATGCAAATAAAACGCAACTGTACTCCTGTAGCAGTAATCTTTGAGCACATTAGACACGCTCCTGGCTCGAATTTTACAGCATTTAATATGTTTCTGTGCGAACCTGGCAATGAATAAACGTTATCGACTCGTGCATAATCAATTGTGTGCTCCACTTTGCAGCAGCAGGAACACATTGAAGACAATTTCCTGCCAGGCGAAGAAATCGTTAGAAATGTTTATGACGTATCAGCTATTCTGGGAGAAAATTCAACTATTCAACTTCAGTAAACGGCTACAGCTATCCTTGCAAAACTTATCTCTTCCATAAATTCTACGTTTTAACGCGTCATTCTATGTTCATCTTTTAGATGACAGGCATAGCGAGTAATAATATCAACTTTGGCAGTTTCTCATCCGAGTCATGTCGAAACAGTGCAAATTTCACACTGTTTCCAATTACAATTTCACTACTTTATTAAACATAGTGGAGCGTCCAGATCTAGATCCAGCCGAACATACGAACTGTATAAGGGTAAGATACATGGGACAGGATTACCTCATTAATCCCAGATCATTACTACGGACATGACGGCGACCCCCACTGTAACGAACAAAAATTTGTAGAATGGTTGATCTACTCCAATTTTACAGGGAGGCGTGTAACCCTTTGCGAGGAGATGGTTGATGGCCACGTAAATAAACACTCCTGCTGCAAAACCCATGGAGACAGCATAGATCCAATCTGCAGTATTTCCTTGCGACGTTTGGTCGATTAGGATGCCGATTGCCACGCCGATAGGACTTGAGATGGCGAAAGCGAAAGAGTAAGCCGCACAAGACCACAACGGCCTGTCTGGGATAATTCTTAGCAACGCAATGCCCATGGCGATAGCTGCAAAAACTTTGTGAAGCGTAATTGTCCAGAGTGATCTCCAAGCATCCTTTGTCGTCGCTGCACAAGGTAATGATCCACTCTGTCAAGACAGCTAGATGTATGGTGATAGCGGAAAACGATTCAGGCTTTACTTCCGGCACGATCGTTTCTGCCTCTAATCCCCTGATAGTATCAGATCTAGTTTTTGCGATATACAGCTGAAACTTACAAGCACGCGTAGTACCAATCAAGGAAACTGAGCAAGAGGCGCACCTGCTACACCAATAGCAATGCCTTCAAAAATGGAGTGGAAGCATAAAGCAAAGACCAACAGCACTGCGTCTCCGAAGGAAACTTTCGGAATCAAGGTTGCCTTGACCAGACTCCCCGCATCTTTGGTATATGGGACTTCATCTGGACACTGCCACCAGAACAAGAGCATACGATTTCGTTACGTTTCTGAGCTTCGAGACTCAAAATATCATGCACTCCACTTAAAAATCGTTCGGATCATGTTCACAGACACGAATAGTAGGATGACCACAATTAAGTTGGTAGCGCATGTACGCACATGCTTTGAAAGAAATGACTCAAAAGATTGTGCAGAGATGGCACCTTGCATTCTGCACCATTGCGACTAGCGTCGCAGCAGCTCTTTCCGTCCGAGCCGACAGGTTTGCAAGGTTTACCTCCTGAGGAATGGAAAAGTGCCAATGACTGGGCTAGAGAAGGTAATCAAACAACATGCTCTCATGATTTCATACGCGAGGTGGTGATCCTCACGCTGGATTTGGTCAACGAGAAATTTTGTCAGAGGCATGCCAGTAGGTGTGAGTTGATGGCTTCTGACGCGATAGAAGAAAAGTTTGCTTCCCGTAAAATCCGAAGGCATTAATGATTCCATACCTGGGGTGCATTCGATATCCGTTGCGTGATTGGTTACAGGTTGACGAGCGTAGACGAATTGTATCAAAACATCTGCAAAATTGGTGATCAAGTACCCGACGCAGGCGAGCATGAAAGCGAAGGGATACGGCTTGGACGTAAGGTCCTTGAAAGTCTCATTGGCGTCGCTGAGAAAGTGAAGCATGGCCGTGGCCAGAAAAATCCCTCCAGCGAACTGAATTCCCAGAACCAAAAATGCCTGGTTCCAGCGGAAAAAGTACGGCGACACTCCAGGAATGAACGTGGCAAAAAACACGATGATCAAACAATAAACCTTCACCAAAACCAAATCCTTGGCCCGTAAATCCAGATTCTCATCCTCGTGCCCGTCCCCATTCCCTCCGTGCGCGGCCGCGGGCCCAACCAAGGCGGAAATCAGCACCAAACTCCACAAAGCCGACGCGAGAACCATCCTCATCGAGAAACCCATCTGTAAAACCGACTCGACCCTAATGTCCTGCCCTCTTGCCGCTCGCCGCTCGCTGCCTCACCGTCCTCGACAAACTGATTCCTTCCTGCCGCCGCACGAGAATCGCCCCTGACTGTCAGACCATATAACACCTCGAGAAAGCGCGGGCGCTGGTCTCGATGGCGACCGACGGCAGCAGCATCAGCAGCATCACGTCGTCCTGCGCTGAGTCTCGAGGCTGTCGAGGGTCGGGCCGCTGCAGCGATGGGATGGTGCAGCATCCAGCTCTGCTCAATGTGGCCACCATCGATCGCAATTCGCGTCATATGAATCGCGTCGATGGGTGCCGCTGCAGGACAATCAGCTCGTACAATTGCCGACTTCTGTACTACTCGCCCGGTCCACGTCCTGCATGCGTCCAGCGGACAACCGCTCCACCGTACTCACTCGTTGTACTCTCATGGGTACGATCGCCTGCGGCCCGAAAGTCCACGTTCTCCAGCCCTTCTTTCTCGACTCCACGCTCCCCTCACCGGGTTGGGGATTCTTCCATGCACCCACCGCTCACCACGTTCGCGGTCGCCGTCGCGGCCAACTGCGCTAGCGGCGACCGGTCGGTGTCCGCAGCGAAGGATAATTCCCATTGACCGATTTGTGAATATTCTGATCTTCGACATTTGGATGCGACGTTACTGTGCTGTAAAGGTAGGACAGGGTCCGACCTTGACAGCACAGTAACGTCGGCGGGCACTACTGCAAAGGATCTGGACGCATCCATGACGAGAACCATGGACGAGTTTCGGCGACCGAGTCCTACCACGTCGCAGTTGTGGTCCCGGTGGCTTGTCCCTCGTGATTCACGTGGTTCGCATGTTCATCATGTTCGCCTTGTCTCCTGCTTGACTCCGAACGAGCTGCTTCCGCAGCGCTTGGAGTTCGGGGCATTTACTGTAAACCTCTCGAGTTGAGATTTCGGAACTCTACTTGACCCACTGATCGTCGAAATGGACTTTAGGTGCGATGAGAAGACAGCCTCTACGCTGTGGGATGAAACACCGCCTGAATTCTCGAACATTGCTAAGAAGGTCTCTTAGAGTGAGTTGAAGAGAAGCGAAGATGAGGAGTTGATCGGTGACTATTCTGGTTTTGTCCACGTTCACAGTTATCGTCAAGAAGATTCGGATGACGAGACGAGCAGACTACGGCAGAATTTCAGGTATCAATTAGAATTTTATCCAGCACGTGACATTCAGAGTGGTACATTGCTAAGAAGTGAATGTTGATTCATCAAAGAGTTTCGCGACTTTCGCGAATCCTCGCTTGAGCGTTCTGTTACAGCTTTTGGAAATTCCATAAACTATCGGTGAGGCGAAACACCAGAAGAGAATCCTCAGTTTTTTTATGAGAAATTCAGCCACAGAATCTGACCACTAGGATGCTCGTACACCGACTTGAAGTTTGCAGTACAATTCATCAAAAGAAACCATGGAAATGTATCGAAGTGATTATTTGTTATTGCATTTCTTTCTATCAGATACATGGGTGCATATGATATATTCTGTAGTTACTCTGCATATTACGAAGTACAATTTAATCCGTGAATTACAGTTGCTTTGTTTATCTCGTATGCATCCGCTTGACCATAAAGTTTACAACATACTTTGATATATGTGTATTTTTAGCATTTTTATTGGATTCAGCTTTCTCCAACTAATCCAAATTGATCAACTCTTTTACTTTGTGTGAAGGCTTCTACATTTTGATTCTACCGTTCTTTAGAGCTTCACGTCATTCATCTATCATTTTTTTTAACTATAAACTTAATTTACATTATCATGTTACTGCATGTTAGTATATATAACATAATAGATTTAACATGTGTTTTCATACATTACAGTTAGAACATATCATTATTAAAGTCATACATGAAATCATTTAGTACAAAGATAGGATCTTCATGCAAATATAGTATCCAATCTTTGAAAGTCTTATCAATTTTGTCTGTTCTTCTATACCGATGAAACAACACATTATAGAACATCTTTGAGTTCAATATTCCCATACTTACATCATATGATGTGAAAAGTAAAGCAAATAATCTTCTTATTTAAATACTAAATGGCAAGTTTACTCCCATTTTTAACTTTGAGTGTTTGAAACTCTAAACTCTCAACTATACTATTCTTGTACAATTACTCATTAAAATTTTTAGAGATTGATTAAAATGCATTGTAATATATAGTTGTTAAAACATCTATAAAACTAACTAACATAGAGCAATACAACATACACACAAACCCAAACCGACTTATAGTTGATTTGTCATTATTAAATTACGTTGTCAAGAAAAAATAATATTTTTCAAGCACCTAAAAAATGTTCAATGCGAGCTATGACTTGCGCTCATATGTATATTAAAGAGTAAAATCTATAATTCAATCCTCATTATGCTTACAACTAATTTTAATTCAAGTTAGGTTAACTAGAGTTGGCTCGAGATTTGAGTTAATACTTACAATCTTTCCCTTATCTCATTTCATTTTGTGAGTACAATAATCTTTGTAATTCATGTAATTACTTTGCTTTAGTTTAAAAAGTTTAAGAAGTTAATAGATTTAGAATGAAATTTATCATATGCACATCAGAGTCTTGCAATGGATATTCATATTCATGGATACTCAATACCCACCCATACTCATGGCTAAATGCATGGGTAATGGATATGGGCTAGGATGCATGGGTGATTACAAGGAACGTGTGGGTATTGAGTACCCATTGCATGACTTTGATGTCCACCTCTAGAAAAAACTCTTTCGCAACTTTATATGGTCTCGACAAATGGAGTCAATGAGCATGCTCCATCCAAAAATAATGAGACATTATGTTTTGGCAATGGTCATGTCACACGTTTGAAGAGCTCACTTGCATAGAGTGACATTATGTACTGATTGTCGGTCTATTACTTGTTCGTGCTTTTATCATATGGTTGATTAAACACAATATTGCAGCTTGAAGTGAAACTTTATATTGCTCAATTTTCTTCTCAAAATTTTGATCACAAAACTCTTGTCACATGATTTGTACTCCTCTCGTTCCATCTTGTGACGCCTCTGCTGAAGCTGTTCATGTTCTTATCGATTTGTTGGTTAAACACAATTTTGCAGCTTGAAGTGAAACTATAACTGTCCAAATTTTCTTCTCAAAATTTTCTAATAAACACTTTAAGTGCTCTTAAGTAAATTTAATTTGATGATGGACTCATGGATATGAATTGGGTATAGACGATGAAGTCTTGAGTATGAGTTGGATATGAATTCATGGATAATCTATGGGTAATGGGTGGATTCAATTGACTCACTTATGGATATGAATTGGGTTGGGTAAAGTTTTGAAGCTCAATGTAGGACTCTCATGCATATCTCTAATCTAAAGCTAAATAGAATAAAGCCTAAGCCAAAACATGGTAGAGTAAAGAAATATAAAGATTACAAATATTATTTGTAAACTTTACTTGTGCTCCTCCTGAAAAATCTTCAAAGAAGCACAATGTATACTAAAACTTCCAAAAAAATTAACTTTGGTCAATGCATGAACTATATTGAAATTTATATCAATCTTGACTAGTTCAATAAAAATTGCATATATGATAAAATGATACTCAATGTTAATTTATTTCACTCTGCTATTCATTACTTGATTTGCAGCAACATGTAACGCATTTTGACTATCACAATGAAAATCAACAATTTTAGGTTTCAATTTCAATAATGAAGAACACATTCAATTAATCTTTTGTATTGTTTCTACTGTAGTTACATGTTCAGCTTAAGTTGTGGATTGAGCTATGCAATTCTGCAAAGTATATCTCTAATTAATGCATATACTATCTAGTGTAAACATATATCCAATGATAAATATCTTGTTGTCCAAGTTTTGACCATTTTTAGCATCAATGTTGCATAGCCAAACTTTTACATTGTATACTAAATCATCAAACAATATATTATAATCGTTAGTATTTTTTATGTACATGAAAATTCATTGCACTACTTGCCAATGCAAATTCTTGGATTTTAACATGTATCTATTCACCTTGTCCAATACTAAAAAATATTAGATAGAGTCATATCATCAAATGCATTAGGCTCACAACATTGTAATAAGAAATGAATGACATGTTTTCATTCTTAATGATATTGGTTGAAAAGAAAGCTACATGATTTTGAAGTGTGATGCCTAAAAATCAATACTGTTTTAGAATATGCCATTTTAAACATAATAAGCACATGTTGAACCTACTTGCCTTAATTCAATCATAGTTTTTTTTTTACAAATTTTTATGATTATACATTTATGATATTTTCTTGGACTTATCCAAATTCTTTGTTTCAAATATAAACTTTTCCATGTATCTTTTTCATCTTTCAACATCAGATTTATTCTTGCCAAAAAAAGCATATCATTCAGGTAAATCATCACAATAATGAGATTGAAAATTTCATTGTCATTTTTTTCATTTATATATATTTATTATATATAATGTGTGAGAATTTTTATGCCTTCATGAATTCATCAAATCTCAAATTACATTGCCTAAGAGCTTGTTTCAATTCATATAATGTTTTCAACTATCCAAAAATTAAATTTTCTTGATTTTTCTTTTCAAAACCAACTAGTTCTCTAATATACATTTTTTTCCAAAAATTCATCAAAAATTTTTTAATTACATCCATTTTATCCGTAAACATATTAAATATTGCATCAAGTGCACATACTCATTAAATTGTGATATATTTTACTAAAGATGAGAAAATTTTGTTGCAATACATAATTTTTTCTTGCATGAAATTTTTTGCCAACAATTGAACTTTGAAGATTTTTATATTGTCATTTGTTGAATTGTTTTTTAGTATGTACAACCATTTGCAATCAATCAAATACTAATTTCATGAAAGTTTCATTAATTTTCATATCTTGTTATCAATCAACGATTGCATCTCACGTTCCATATTAGCATTTCATTCAAGGTTATTAATAAAAGCTTGAGATCTTCTATAAATTTTATTTTATTATCTTCCAAGATCAACGCAATGTCGTCATTATACTTAATTACAACATTATGATTATCAAAAATAGATGAATCAGTCCATAATTCATACTTTACAAGAGTCCTATTAATTCAATTCAATTATCTTCTGGAAGACCATCCTTGTTGATCTCCATTATATGATGCAGATTTTTGAGTCTCATCAAATTAACATGTTGCTCTTATTACTACTTTTCGTAA